ACGCGCGTACGGTACTCACGTTGTATCTCGCGCGTGGGTCTTTGAAGAAGTTGGGACGCGTCAGATTTCCCGTGCTAGTCGGCAAACACGGTTTCAAAGACGACACGCTCCCGAGTCGAAGCAAGTCTGGCTTTTCCACTTCCGGCCCGCCAAATTCTTGCAGTTGTTGCAACCAGCAGCACAACATGGTCTCGATACCCTCGTCCACCTGTACGCATCAGTGAACGGCGTCAGTCGCGAGAATTTCCTTCCCGAAAAACTGCGCGACGAGTCTACGCGTTTTCCGTTTTTTGCTATCTTCGACTCACCCTCGTGGAATCTACTCGAGGTACTCGAGGAAATACAAAGTCCGACGTGGTCAAGATGATCTTGTACGGGCCTTTGGACATTCTCTTCTGAAGCAACTTTTTTCTACGAGACGACAATTGAAATGGACATTCGGATAGCTGCGCTGTCGTAGAAGATACCTACGTAGCTAGCCGTATACGTTCGCTGGATCGCTCGATCGTTAAAACGTAAATATAAATGTCCGAACGCACGGAAACGCACGGAGAAATTTTACGACACTGTACTAAATGTAAAAAATGCGATTATCGTCATACCTGACGAAGACGGCGATCGACACGGCGAAAACGGTCAACAAGAGGGATCCCAGGACGACAGCGACGACGCGCGCGATACGAAACGTCGACGATTCGTCGTCGGAAGCGGTCGCCTCTGCAAAAATGAGAATATCTTTCGTGAAGGGATTTCCGGAGACCGAGGTCGATCGATCGAATCGGATTACGATTCGACGCATTTCGTTCGTATCTCTCGACATCGATATCTTTGTTTCCAACGTCTCTTCCACCGGAAGAGCGGAGAGCGACGTTGATTACCCGTGCAATCGACAAAGGGAATCCCGTCGACGTCGACGTTGCTGCACCTTGGGAAATCGGCGTCGTTCGTATCGCGAAACGCCGTCGCGTTCGTCGATAACTTTCGAACGAACAATCCGTCGCTTCCTTCCACCGCGATCATTACAGGTTTCCAGACGTCGACGCGCCAATCGAGCATAACGTACGTGTAAATTTTGTTATTGAACGCGTTTACGCTAGAATTGTCGTTGTTCGTCAAGATGTCGACGGCCTCGTTCAGACGGTCCATCAACGTTGGCGCTGCGTACCTCTCCGCGCCCTCGAACACTCTCTCCACGTCGTATCTGTAGAAAAGAACGCACACGTGTACGCGTAACGGTAGAAGCAAGTCGAAGAAGCGCGAACAAAGCGTACCTGCAATCGAGAGGCGTCACGGTCATCAATCTTTCTAGAAAAGTAGAACTCAAGTTTCTCGGTGGAAGGAACCGACGACGACGAGTCGTTACTCTCGATTTGTTCCGCGTCTCTTCCGCTTCTTCCGCTTCTTCGTCCACGTCGTCTGCTTCTTCCAACACCGAGTCTGTCACTCGTTCCGTCGTCGCGTCGTTACCGTCGTCTCCTTCCCGAGAGATCAGTTCGTCGTCGCAGGATACGTCGGTAGCAGAGAGATCGTCGGAAGACGACAAAGCGATCGGAAGCGAAACGTCGGGCCTCGCCGAATCGAAACGAGAGACGAAAGCGTTTCCGGTCGGTAGAAAGAGATCGTCGTCTTCCGTGTGAACGACGACGGTCACGGAGGAGTTCCACGTAGAATTCGAGGATCGCTGTACCGCGTCTATCTCGGAGAGCACGCGAGTTATCAGTCCATCCTCGTCGGACGTCGTCGGTAGACACAACACGGTAACTGCGCGTGAAATCAAACGCGAACGTTTGCGTTTACAGGTTGTTTCAGAAGGCGCGCGCGCGCGCGCGTGGTTGAAAAGTCGGAAGGA